GAGCTAGATTTGGCAGCACAATTGTCGATATGGGTGACGTGGACGGAGATGGGTACAACGGTAAATATAAAATTTTACAACTAAAAATTTAAACTTGCTACTTATGAAGTATTTTTTAATATAGAATCATGGTTTTCAGTAATAATCTGTAATCTATACTAATATTAAAAGTTCTCTCACCGTTAGAAAGGTAACTTTTCTCTGAGTAATATGGGCTGCTTGTACTATTTTTTGTATTTCACGCGGACGAAGTTGCGAGCAAAAGCTAGTAATATTATAAATTTTAGAAGATATTGCGAACACAAACAATAAGGGTAACAGAAAAATCACCTTACAAGCTATCGGGTTTGGAATCTTGCATCACGCGGACGAAGTCGCGGGCAATGTTTAATATTCGAGGAATTTGTTCCAGACGTCGCTATCGGAGCACCGTGGGAGAACGACGGTTACGGTGCGGTATACATCTACAGGGGAGGGGAAAAGGGTATTGGCAGTCAGTATACACAAAAGATAGTAGCCAAAGGTGCTAAGAGTTTCGGTATATCTATCTCAAAAGGATTCGATGTTGATAGCAACAATTGTAGTGGTAAGTTTTTTTTTTTTACAAAAAGGTGGCATACAAAATTGGCGAAGCGACCGTTGCCCATAAACATCCGCAATTGCAAATGCTTTGCTAAATTGATGGAGGAGACGCACATAAAGAGGATATTTTCCTTTCCTATGCGTCTCCTCCACCGTCAAATCGACTTTCCCATCCAATCATTTCCATAACAGAAATAGATGGGACGGGAAAGGGACTAAAATTTAAAGTACTTTATCTTAGCTATATAATGATTATAAACCTCCAAAAATCATCACAATAATTGGTCATCTGTTACCCATACCCAGAATAATCCGGACGCACCTATGATCAAACTATCGCACAACTAGTCTCGCTTTCCTATGAGCTTATATGGAGGTGCACACGACTTGATTTTGGGCCCTGTCCCACCACTGGCTGATAGAGAGTCAGATAGCTTACAAATGACTACACTGATAAAGTAACAAAATCCGATATTTCCATCACATATTTCAAACGTTGGATTGTTATCAATTTACAATTTGTCGGGACAGAGCCTTAGTTGTGCAACTAAACTATCGCACAACTGTTGTACGATTGTTTAGTCAAATGTGTATTATGGTTTATGGTGTATCATGTTTATGACTTCCAGATTAGTATATAATTCACATGAATCAATATTTACTTATTCAAGTCACTTTTAAAATAATCACAACTTTCAAATTGTAATCTTTTTTATAGATTTAGCTGTAGGTGCAATAAATAGTGACACAGTATACTTATATAGATGTATCCCAACAATAGAAGTATACGCCAGTATAAAGGTTCCCGATGTAATGAACATACCTCTCAATGCTACCAACTTTACAGCTATATTTTGTATTGAAGCTAAAGAACAAATTAAATGGCCCCACGTTAAAACAGGTTGGTAACACAACTGAGTAAAAATTGTTGATGAAAGAAACGATTTATTTATACTACTTTTTTATGGCTGCCAATATGATGATCAGGGATTTTTTTTTGGGCTGGGTATTTTTATTTCCTTTTTTCATTATTTAAAAAAAATCAATTCCTTTTTTTTAAATTCTTAATTAGAATTTTCTTAACATCTGTTTAAAATACTTCTTCTTAAAAATAAGTAAAGAGGTCCCACCCACACCCAACATCCCTTGCCCATAAATACGAGTATGTTAGTGGGAACGAGAGGGCGGCCTGGCGCCGACTAAAAAAAAACTATTCCAAATGCGGCAGTTTTTCCTTTTTAATTTAAAAATATAAAATATCTCTTTTTTAGTGTTAAATGCAATAATTCGTGTCGACCCTGATGGTGGCAGAGCTTGGATATCAGGCGACGCGGAGTACCAAGTAACAATAAAACCAGGCAACAAAGCATGTGAAGAACAAACAGTACAAGTTAAGGTAAATGAAAATAATAGTTTTAGGCCCTTTCCCACTACTTGCTGATAGAGGCTCACATAGCTTAAAAACATCACTGTCAGATAAGATAACAAAATCCGATTTTTCTAACACATATTATACACGTTGGATTGTTGTCAATGTACATGAAGTTGGTGGGACTGCCCCTTAGCTTTATAAATCTTTTTAATTCTTTATAATTCTTCACTAAGGGCCTGTCCCACCACAGGCTGATAGAGGCTCAGATAGCTTAAAAATGACGTTACTGTCAGATAAGGTAATAAAGACCTTTTCTGGTGTATTTATGATACTAGCTTTCGCCCGTGACTCCGTCCGCGCGGAACTAATAACACACAAAAGTAAGTAGCCTATGTGTTCTTCCAGACTGTACTCTACATATATGCCAAATTTCATTCAGATCCGTTGCGTGTAAGCTACAAACTCTAACAAACATCCATCCATCTAAAGTTTCGCGTTTATGGTATAACTAGCTTTCGCCCGCGACTCCGTCCGCGTTGAATTAAAAGAAAACTAAGTAGCCTAAGTGTTCTACCAGACTGATCTCTACATCTATGCCAAATTTCATAGAAATCCGTTCAGCATTTAGGCTACTAATTCTAACAAACATCCATCTAAACTTTCGCATTTATAATATTAGTAAGACAAAACCATAATTATTGCCCCTTTCCCTTTCCACCCTTTTCTTAAGAGGAAATGATGGGAAGGAAAAGTGGATTTGATGATGGAAGAGACGCATAAGAAGGGGAAATGTCTTCTTTATGTACGTCTCCTCCTCCGTCAATGAAGGGTAGGCAACGCATCTGCAATTGCGGATGTCTATGTGCAGCGGTCCTTTCCATTTCGGTGGATTCAGGTTGCCGCTTGCTCGTTTGCCACCTTATGTTATAAAAAAAAATTATTCATTCCAGCCTACAGCAGATTTGTCGAAACCAATTACCATTAATTTTGAATTGAGTCACAGGATAATACTAGAAGGTAATTATTTCTTCTTAAATGAACAAATATTAACAATTATCTCCTCATTTCGTTATTTTTTTTAAATTTAATTACTAATACAGATGACTCACCTTTATTTTTGAGTAAACAAGCGAGATTATCGGAAAATTCTAAATTACATTCTTCCTTCGAAATCCAATTAAATAGAGAATGTGGTGAAGATCTTATTTGTAAGCCGTTATTAGAAATGACTTTAGAAGGATTAAGCAAGTAAGTATCCTTGATATTTGTAAATACTAGCTGTTGCTCGCGACTTTGTTTTCGTGAAATTAAAAACAATTACTCACCGATAACGTACCTTTCTAATGGTAAAAGAATGTTTAAATTTGGCCCAATGGGTTTTGAGTTATCCCAATATATATAATGCAAATCATTCCTTCTTATTACATACCAGCTTGCGCCCGCGATTCAGCCTACTATAAAACATAGTCAATATTACTCATTGACAATGTAGCTTTTTAATGGTGAAAGAATTATTGAAATCGGCTCAGTAGTTTTCGAGTTATTTCAATATAAAAAAAAACAAATCATTCTTCTTGTTATGCTATGTTATTCACTGACAAATTACCTTTCAAATGGTGAAAGAATTTTTAAAATCTACCCAGTAGTTTTTGAGTTATTTCAATACATACAAAAATACAAATGTTTCCTTATTATATTACTATATAGCTTTCGCCCGCGATTCCGTCCGCGGGTAATTAAAAAACACAAAAGTGAGTAGCCTATGTGTTCTTCCAGACTATCCTCTATATCTATACCTAATTTCATTCAGATCCGATCAGCAGTTTAGGCTACAAACTCCAACAAACATCCATCTAAACTTTCGCATTTATAATATTAGTATGATAGATTAAACCCAATAACACCAATAACAAATTGAACATAAGACTAAAAATAACTGATTCCTTTCAGTCCATACATCCCAGGTTCGGAAAACAGATTTGGTATCAAAGTTACCGTACTTAACAAAGACGAACCTGCTTACGGCGCTAAAGTCTACTTGACAATACCAACTTTACCTAAGAGGTTACCAAGCGAATGCTCATTAAAACAACTTAATATAACTTGTGATGTCCCGCCACCTTTACATAGAAATGAATCAGTAACTTGGGAAATAGAATTTGAATATGTACAAAATAATTCATTTATTAATGAAATAAATATTGAAGCAGTACTAGAAGATCCACTTCATAGTAATAATGATAGTGATAAAGTTACTAGAGATCTTACTATTATTGTTAAGCCGGAAGCAAGTTTTAACATTACTGGGTAAGTATTAGTACTCATTTAGCTTTTTATGATCTTATATGGAGATGTACTGTTCGATTTTTAGTGCAACTAAACAGTGGAATGCAATACAATCCAACAGTTGTGCGATAGTTTATTCAAGTGTTCTCTTATGTTAATGAAAAATCGAAGAATCGGTTACCTGGAATAATGATTGTTTTAATAACCGGTCTTGGACATTGCAATGTAACTTTTATTGAATTTGAAGATTTTTTTATAACATAAGGTGGCAAACGAGCAAGCGGCCACCCGAATTCACCAAAATGGAAAGCGACCGTTGCACATAAACTTCCGCTATTGCAGATGCGTTACCTACCCTTAATTGACGGAGGAGACGCACATAAAGAGGACATTTCTCCTTCCTATGCGTTTCCTCCACCGTCAAATCCATTTTTCCTTCCCATCCTGTCCTATTAAGAAAAGGGTTGAAAGAGAAAGGGACTAAAATCAGGCCTCCGGCACCACACTCATCAGAGTGTACGCGGAATTGCTTCCACTTCACTTCTGTCTTCTGTGTGGTCGTGATATCCCTGGTATGGTACCCTGTAGTGCGTAGATGTTGAAACGGGCTCTACCACTGTTTAAATTTATTCTAAATTAAATTAAATCTTTAGAGGAAATTTTGGTTTTTAAATTATTACTAAACTTGTATTACAGAACAGTGCAACCAAACAAAACCATCTCAATAACAAGAGATGCGCTCGCTAATGGCGATAGTGTAGCTTTTGTACATTACTTTGAGGTAAATGAATTACTCCCATTCTTAATGATTATTTAAAAACCCCCTTAGTTTTTAAATTGAATCTAAAGTACTTAGCAACTATTACTTTGAATTGCTGTAACTTCTTAAACGTAATAGTAAACAGTATTTGTATTTGATACTAGCTTTGACATATTTGATTTGATACTAGCTTCTTCTAGAAATTAAAAAATAATAAAGAAATATAGCCTTCGTAACTCACAGATAAATTATCTTACTAAGAGTGAAAATTTTAAAATCGCCCCAGTAGTTTTTGAGTTATTTCAATACATACAAAAATACAAACCTCTTATAACATTAGTATAGATAATTTTTTTTCAACAGATAAAAAATTTGGGACCTTCAGATTGGTACAATTTAACGGCTATTTTATTAATACCAGATAAGGTAAGTTTATATACATTGATTATTTCCGACTAGAAATAGATTTTATTATTTACTAGCTTTCGCCCGCGACTCCGTCCGCGTGAAATAAAAAAATAAAAGTAAGTATCTTGTTCTTCCAAACTATCCTCTAATCTATGTCAAATTTCATCGAGATCCGTTCAGCAGTTTAGGCTACAAACTCTAACATCCATCCATCTAAACCTTCGCATTTATAATATTAGTAAGATGTACATAATTGTAATATTTCAGACAGACCTATCTAATAGTATAGATGGTTGTAATCAAGAAAATATCAGTGTTCACTGTTCCTGGTCTCTTCCCGCGAGAGCCTCCAAAGCTATCGCACTCACTTATAAGTTAAATGTAACTTTACATGGTACGTTGCACTTTTCATAATAACTTAAACGAAGATTATATTTAACTAGCTGTTCCCATGCAAATTTATCCGCATAAAATTATGAAAATTTATAATTTTATTGTTTACATTTGTCAAATTATCAATTGCGAAAATTACTTCCTTGATGTTGGCAGCTTGTAGTTTATGGTTCCTTTCCCACGTGAAGGTTTTTTTCGAATTTATCCATCCCCCAAGTTTTATAGCGCAAATATATATATCCGTGTCGTAAGTGTAATGCTTTTTATTTATTGAAGAATTATTCCAACATATGCTTGCTTATATCCTTCGTCACGAAGTAGTGTTTGTTTACGCTTTATTATATCAGTATAGATTATTAAGTTTATATTGTTTATTTAGTTAGTTAGATAAATTTTATAATTAATTTTTAAAACAAATACCTTTATTTGTATCGTATTAACCATTTTAAATATGTTTTAGCAAATTATTTAGAGGAAGTTACAATTTTCAATGCAACAACAACAATTATTTTAAATGAACAAAATATGTAAGTATGAAAAATGTGTAAAACACGGATATAGTTACTAATGAAAAAAAATGTAAAAATGATGGATTGTTTGAATGGATGTGCGTAAGAAAGTTTTTTTTTTATAACAAGGTGGCAAACGAGCAAGCGGCCACATGAATCCAAAGAAATGGCGAAGCGACCGCTGCACATAGACATATGCAATTGCAGATGGGTCGCCTACCTTTATACGACAGAGGAGAAGACGCACATAAAGAGGATATTTCCCATTCCTATGCATCTTCTCCATCGTCAAATCCACTTCCCCTTTCTCTCCTTATAAGAAATAGGTGGTAAAGAGAAAGGGACTTAAATTAGGCCTCCGGCACCACACTCATCAGACGAAACACGGAATTGCTTCCACTTCACGCCTGTGTTCTGTGTGGTTGTGGTATTACTGGGGGCGTGCCGGCCCTGCAGTGATAAGATGTTAAAGAGGTCACTACCACTGTTGAAGTGAATTTAAATATGATCGATAGAGATGTATATAATATTTACTACACCTCTTAATAGGAAAAAGGGTAGGCTGAAGATAATTTGAGTTAATATTATTTATTATTTTTAGCAATTCTTCACTGATCACGTCATTAGTTTTGGATCCACCGACACCTCTTTGGCCGCTGATAGTAGGAATTGTGGCTGGAATATTGACATTAGCAGTATCTGTCTTCGGCCTGCACAAGGTAATAACTAACTTATTGATATGTTCATAAGGTTGTTTATTGCTTGACAGTTGTACATCTTTAAAAACAGTTATTACACAGAGATATACAGAAAGAAGGGAATTTTCGGATTATTCCCAACCGTCACCCCGCTCTGTCCCCACACGGGGACAGATGAGAATTAAATGTTTCATCCGTCCCACTTATTGAGACGCGGGGATGGTTGGATCCATCTGTCACCTTATTGGTGATAGTGGGACTAAAAGGGGGAACGGATGAATTTTTGTATTATCATCTGTCCCCACGTAGGGACGGAGCGGGGTGACGGTTGGGAAAATTCCAAATTTTCGCGAAAAAACCAAAGCTAGTGAAATTGTTTTTTTTTTTATTAAATTATAAGCTAGTGCTTGAACACGACTCCACGTAAAGTTTTCACATATACACTTGATATCTTCAAAATAAATTAAATTGAATCAAATGCTTTAAGAAAAAAGTTTTAATCAGTTTAATCATATTTATGGTATCGCTGTCGATATAGGTTAGGTCTAGGGACGCAGCTAGCCCTTATATTGGTCTTGTTAATAGTTACATCTATTACATCTATCTTACTTCTTACTAATAATATAAATGCGAAAGTTTAGATGGATGGTTGGATGGATGGATGGATGTTTGTTAGAGTTTGTAGCCTAAACGGCTAAACGGATCTCGATGAAATTTGGTATAGACGTAGATTATAGTCTGGAAGAACATATAGGCTACTCACTTTTGTTTTTTAATTCCACGCGAACGGAGTCGCGGGCGAAAGCTAGTTTCACATAATTAAAGTATCTGTAATAGGAAACAGCTGTAAACAAATTACCGCGTATTGTGACTTAAATTATATGCAGACGTCTTTTTACAGCTTAATTTCTTTGAAAGATCTAAACGAGATGACATGAAACGTCTGCAAGAAGAAATAAGTAGCTCCAGTTCACTCGGAGAGTTGAGAGATGACGACGCTTGTACACAAGATATACAACTAGAAGATTCTGACTGAGGAATAACGAAAAAACTTCGAATGGACGGGAAGGAGAGATATGAAGAAAGAAAAGGGATACAGGTCTACACAGTTTATTCTCTTAGATTGTTAACGTATGTAGTTTTTTATTCCTTGAATGTTTGTAAAATTAGTTTGCAATTCATTGTAGAGACAATGTAAATTGTCTGATCTCAAAATATTTTTGTACATAGTCTTAAATGGCCAAAGAATCAATAAGTAATAAGTATGAATTAAATAAATAATTATCAACAAAAAGTCTACCAATTATTGTACACTAACTTTCCCCGCGACTCCGTCCGCGTTATCTACACGCGCAAAAATAAAAGTAAATAGCCTATACGTTCTTCCAGATTATCCTCTATATCTATGCCAGATTTTATCCAGATCCGTTAAGCCGTGTAGGCTTCAAACTCTAACAAACATCCATCCATTCATCTAAACTTTCGCATTTATAATATTACTAGCTTTCGCCCGCGGCTCCGTCCGTGTGGAATTAAAAAAAAAACTAAGTAGCCTATGTGTTCTTCCAGACTATCCTCTACTTCCATACCAAATTTCATCGGAATCCGTTCAGACGTGTAAGCTACAAACTGTAACAAACATTCATCCATCCATCCATCTAAACTTTCGCATTTACAATATTAGTATGATCAATTAGTAACATTAATATTTGAAAAACAAAAGAATAGATATAGTCACTTGTATTGATACGAGAAATCCTTTTTTAAAGAGATAAAAATCTGTATTAACCAGTACCTAATTAAAACTCAAACCTTTTTGGAATTACAAGTTTAATGCCGAACTAAAGTTTGCGAAAGTCGACCCAAGGGTCCTATTACAAATATACGTATATTTTTCAACTTAATAGGGATAAAAAAATAACAAAAGAAATCAGGAAGATGGGTCTAAAGCGGGGTTATTACCGCCCTTTATTACGTCGAGGGAATTAGAAGCATTTATAGACGCCATTTTGTAAGGTTGGCACAAAATTGAATGGGGCCGAAGAAATAAGGCTATTCAGTATTTTGTAATAACTAAACTATATATTAAGAAGATTCTACGCAATGATAAACCATATAAGATTCAAGTCATCTTTCTCACAATTTTCTATTAACGAAATAAGGTGAAAATTTAATTATCGCACATTCCTCTCTTATGTGCTAATGCAGTTTGGCAAAGGGGCAATATTTTTTAATAAATAAAGGGATGAGGTCACGAGCAACAGCTAGTCTACTATAAAACAGAGAAGGATTAGTCTTCCTTTGTAGTATCGAATGGGAAAACAGAGTTTACTATGGTCAGATCATCATCAGCAGCTCACTATACTGCGTCACCTAGGGGCTCGGAGCTAACCCTAAGTTAGGGTGACTAGGCCATAGTCAACCACACTGCGATTTGACTTCACTTCGCCGATATATGCAGGCATCACGATGTTTTCCTTCACCGTAAGAACGTCGGGTAAATTATGTACATATGAAATTTCGAAAAATCTAAAATCACATTGGTACAGCGGGATTCGAACCCAAGACCTGTTGATTACAAGTCAAGTGCTTAAACCACTGAGCCACCAATGCTCTGTCAGACGCTATGGTTAGATGTTTGTAATATATTACAGATTTTGCATTATCTTACTATTTGTAATATTCTACGGATTTTGCATTAAATTTTTTAACGCTTCCTCTGGCTGGTGTAACAGGGGAGCATTATGAACGAAAGGAAATGAGCCGTCAACTAAACTGCATATACAGCTATCCAATTGACTGGGGTCCTAGTGGGATATTCTGCAATATCAAAATTACATTTTTAAGTTGTTTTGGTATAAATACGTTAGTAATAATTTAAAATTGATGCTAGTTAGACGCTCGATAGAAAGTGTTATTGCTTTATTTAATTCAAATGTTAATTCATATGAAGAGTTTAAAATGTCACAAGTAAATTTGGGTTAAAATTGCAGAATAGTATATTTTATTAGCCGTTCGGAACGAATTTGATGCAACGTATTTGTCGTTACTCGTATGTTACTCGTTTATTATTTAATAGACTAAAATAACAAAAATCTTCGTGGTACAAGTGACCTTCAACCACCTTGGACCTCAATATATGTTTTTATGTGTTTGTGATTTACTTGATACGGAGAAATTGGCTTTTATTAACTACATTTAACATAAGGTAAGGAATTTTAAATATACATAAAATAGATAAATAAAACCTTAACAGTAAACTTTGCTTATACTAACTTTATTCCTAAGTTTAACTTTACACTTTATTTGTTAGAATGTTAATGTCTATTTGTCGAGGGTCATAAATACAAGAATCTTCTGGCTTCATAATAAAAAAACTGCATGTCCTTAGGGAGAGTCGTCATAGTATGTACTGCTCTTCCGTACATCTCTATCGTCATATTTAAATTCACTCCATTCTTAAGCATAAGGAGGGCCTATCTCACCATTGGCTGATAAAATTAAAATGACGTCACCGTCAGATAAGGGAACAAAATCCGACATTTCCATCACATATTATATATGGATTGTTATCAGACAATTTACAATTTGGTGGGACAGGCCCTAAGAGATTAACACTTCTGATTTCTTTCCTTCCTATCGTTTATGAATCTGTCTTAATCGTATTATTCGATATAGAATTCGTTCATTTAAAAAGCTTTAAAGTAATCTGAGATTTGAAAAAAAGTGTGCGATTTTTGACGAAATAAAATAAGTAACGCAAAAGCTCGCTGAAGCTAGAAAACGATTAGCACAGTGACACACGAGCATTAACGTTGGTAAGCTTAAATGCAACTTTTATTTAAACATAATATTACGGTTAATAAAAATCATAATTATGTAATCGATTTTCTTGAATTGACAGTTTTTAAAAGAAAGGTTTCTGTAAGAGTGCACAAAAATTATTGGTTAATCTCATAATACAAAATCCGCTTGGCTTTTATGTTTGCTGTTTTAGTAAGCAATGACTACCGTAATAATGCTTCAGCGAATGCACAGATTAAGAATATTTTCATCATCTCTGTCGTAACCGGATTTAGAAAATAGAATGAAATATTTTGAAAAATATATCTTTTCATTTTATCATTTCTATGTACTCAATTGTTTTTTCATTTTATTTCAATTTTCTGCGATGAAATATCCAAAATATGTGAAACTATACAAAAGTTTTTAACTAGGCATTTTCGTTTTTTTCAGTCATAATTTTATACAAAGTTATTTATAGAAATAAATACAAATTACATAAGTTACATTTTGAAACTTGTAGCGACATCTATGAATGAATATGAACACTTCTGTACTAAATAGTGTCAAATTTATTCCTAATGTCCAGTTAGTGCCGATAGATGTCACTATTTATGAAAAACCTTACTTATATTTAATGAAATTTACACAAATCTAAACTATAACAGAAACAGACTTTTATATGCAAATACATTGTTTTAAATGGTTTTGCTTATTGTAACAGATATCGTAAGCCAAATTAAAAAAATGAGTATAACAAACTTTAAATAGGCGAATAATGTATATACAAGTGTTTTAGAAATATTAAAAATAATGGTTACATTTAGTCATTGACAAACAACATATAATAATTTGTTTTAAATTCAATAAATTACTAAAAACATATAATTTATTTTTGTTTTATTTACAATTATAATAAGACGCAAAATAATTATTTTTACTCTTAAGCCGTTTGTACGGGCATAAAACTTTGTATGGACCAGATATATTTTTCAAATTAAAATAAATTTAACCGTGGAACTCCACTGTATTGAAACACGTTCTACGTACTATACTACATTCTATACCTGTGTGGGATATCCACAATGGAAGCCGATAACTGAGGAAATGTGCGCGTGCGATCGCGCCCTATAATAAAACTTTGATAAATAATAGAAGTCGATTAAAATAACCTTGATCGAGATGCAGTCCGAATGCAGTTGGCAGTCGCCCTCATACCAAGACAACGTGGCCGATGTATAAATAAAAAAAAAGAATAATTGGCCAGTTTAAGGAAGTTTGAATTTAGAATTGTCAATTTCAGTGATGGTTTTTTTTTATTTTTAAAAATAGAACGCAATTTTAATGTTCTTGGTTTGTCTATTAGTGTATTAGTTACGTCGTTTTGTTTTTTTAAGAGGCGTAATTATAGTTAGTCAAAATTAAACAAATCAAAGGTAAGTTGGTTCAATTCTAATTTTTCAGTCCTGTCAGCATTCTTTTGTTTTTATACTAAAGGCCTGTCCCACCAAATTGTAAATTGTCTGATAACAATCCAACATGTAAAATACGAGTAAGTGATAGAAATATCGGATTATGTTACCTTATCTGACAGTGAAGTCATATTTAAGCTATCTTAACCTCTATCAGCCAGTAGCTGGACAGGCCCTTAGAATTTATTTTTTAGAATTTGCTTATTTTTATGTAACCAATAAAGTGTTGTTAGTATTACAAAGAAAACAGTTTCGTTAAAATGTATATTTTAATTATGGTATGCGTTATTAAGTAATCTTTTTCTCACTAAGGGCACCCTGAGCGTAGATTAAGTATGAAAAATCTATTAAAAGACGGCTTAAATGACTGAAAAACTCTGTTTGTGTTAGTTCTATTTGAAAATTATTTTCGTTTAACTATAGCAACATTGTTTTAAGTTCTAGTACCTAAATATTATAATTAATTCAAGTTAAGCTAACTTAATTGTGTCAATCTTTATTGAAATCATTTATGAATGATTTTGCATCGTCGGGTTCGTTAAACGGCGAGACAAAAGGACGTTGACCTCCGCGTGTAAACCATGTACGGAAAGTCCTTATTATGGGTTCCCATTGTTAGAAAACATGTGTAGAAACATGTCTTGCCGGACAAAGCAGAGATACTTTGCCTTAATACAACTATAACTTTGGAAAGTGTAAACTTTGTTTTAAATTGTTATCATTACTGCTAGTTCCTTATCTTACTTCTTACTAATATTACAAATGCGAAAGTTTAGATGGATGTCTGTTAGAGTTTACAGCCTAAGCGGCTAAACAAATCTTGATGAAATTTGGCATAAACGTAGAGGATAGTCTGGCAAAATGTAAGCTACTGTCTTGAGTTTTTTTATTCGTCCCACACGGAGTCGAGAAAATTGTAAATTAAAATAAGTAACCTTATTTTTCTACGATATACACCTGTACCAGTGCATTATCTCCTTTAGTGATTGTTAAAATGTAAGATTTTACTTTCAAAGATAACTCGTGTATCACCAAACATCAGATTTTTCACGTGTTCCGATATGGTGAGATATCATTTTCAGATAAAATTGATGACAAGTTGGCTTACAGATTCACCACCTGCCGTATACGTCATGTGTATAAGGTTCAAATTCCTCTGACATACACCCACCTTCCTCTAAGGCCGATCTCATTATTGCCAAATATTAACGGAAGTCGTTCACATATTGAATTATCTTTAAAACTATTAGTTAAACAAAATCTAAATTTATTTAAATATCTGTAGATTTCAAGGTAGTTCTGTTGCTTAATATTGCTATGAGGTGTTTAATTTTTGCTATCTTAGTGATGTGCCTGTGTGGTTTATCAAAAAATAATTATTTACTTTAATAAAAAAACTTTACTAAACCCCCCCCCCCTCTCTCTCTCTCTCTCTGGATCGTTTCCTCCCTACTGATGGTCGCGACCACTTTCCTTGACACTCTCACGAAGGGTGTTTCTGCACTTTGTGCGATTCTCTGCGACATGTATGGTGGTGTTGAGAGTGGTGCATATTCGGTCCGTCCAACGCATGGGGCGACGCCTTTTAGATCTCTTCCCCTCGTTTTGCCCGTAATAGTAAGTTTAACTAAACCACTACTCGTACAACGTGTTTGCTTTATGAATGGATTAAATGATTATTATTATTATTATTATTATTATTATTACAATAATGTTATTTCGAAAACCTGCTTGTTATCGAATTATTATTCTCATCAATTTGGTTAAAAACATTTAATTTGAATAATACAAAATAATATTTAAATGTAATATAACCGGTTAATAATTAAAATAACGAATTAAAACTCTACACAAAACCAAATAATGCAATGAAGCATAGGCAATTTACCAATATCCATACTTATACAGAGGAAAGATTTGTATTTTTGTATGTATTGAAATAAATCTAAAACGTTATTACTGAGTAACATAGGCTGTGTTTTATTTTTATTTTTTTTGACGCGGGTGAAGTCGCGAGCAACAGCTAGTATAATTGTACGTAGGTATAATCTATCTATATCTATCTATACTATAATAATAAAGCGTAAACACACACTTCTTTGTTGCCTAAGATGTCAGCAATTACAGCATTGTTTTGAATAATTCTTCTATTAATAAAAAGCCCTACACTTATGTCACGCTAGGCCACGCTATATTTTCACGCCATTAAACTTAGGGGGTAAATATTTTGGATAAAAACCCTAATGTGGGAAAGAGACTATAAGTTGCTGCCAACATCAAGGAAGCAAGGTTGTCGTCATATCATGTCATTTTGACATTTATAATTTATAAATTAACACATGTTAACAATAAAATAATTTTACGCAGATGTATATTGCACGGGAACAGCTAGGCCATACTATACTCTATGGTGAACACTATTATAGGGTACCTAGACCAATAATTTGTTACACCTATTAGTGGCATTTAAAAAAATATACAGTCAAATTAAACGTCACGTGAGTAGGTTTTTTTTAAACACATCGCTATCAGTCGTTCGCGATATTTTTTGTATTTATAATACAACCAATTAAAGCCTTAATGTTTGGTTTGATATTATAATTTAAAAATAATCTTATCTTATGTTTAAATGTGCAAATTGTAAAGTAACACCACATTGGTATTTCAACAAGCAAACTGAGCACCTGTTTTAGTAAAAAATGGAAGACATGAAATTAGAGAAAAATTGTGAAAATGTTTTTAAAAAAGAAAATTCAATATCTACTGATAAATACAAAGGTATTTATTTTGTGATTTTTTTATAAACTAGCTATCGCCCGCGACTCCGTCAGCTAAATAGTAGTCTATGTGTTCTTCCAGACTACGCTCTGCATCTATTCCAAATTTCATCAAGATTCGTTAAACTGTTAAGTAGCAAACATCCTTCTAAACATTCGCATTAATAATTTTGGTAAAATAACTGTCACACGAGACTGTGTGTGTGCGGTTTTAAAAACCATTTAGTTTATGCGTTCTAGACTATTCTTTCTTCTTGTCTAGGTATTATCTAGACATCCACATTAAATTTCATTAAAGTCCGTTCCAGTCCTGGAATTATGTGGTTACAAAAATCTATAACAAAACTTTCGCAGTTATAATATTGGTAAGACAATTAATAGAAAATAAATAAATGCGATATTAGAACTAAAATTAAATTACGTTTTAATTTAATTTAAATGTCAGGTCATAATGCACTTTACACTGGACAATAATAAAAATTAAAGAAATATCAACCTTATTGTATCACAATAAGGTATAAATTGCAATAAAGGTATGACCAAGTCTTTATGCACTTAAAAAGTCTTGTGAGGTTAATCTTTGACGTATTCTTATATCTATTTATAAGCAATTGTTGACGTTTTATATAATCCCCTCACGTACGCTGTAAATAGAACAAATAAAACGTATTCACATACGTTAGGTTATTTAAACCAAATATGACAATAATCGATGGTTGCGCGCGCAAATTTAAATATGGCTTCCGTTTGCCCATCGAATAGCTCTTGTTTCCTAGTTTCGCGCTGTCCATGGCTTTGTTTCCACGTGTTATTTGATAAAATTCGATAGCTAACGCGCGTTGTATACGACAATAGGTTTTTGTATTAAAGAATATTAAAGGCGTATTTAACAAAAAATTTATTTTACAATCTTTATACTAAAGTAATTGACAAATAAATACTGAAATTTAAGTAAAAGAAGAGGTTATATTTATCGTATAGAAAATAAATTAGGTTTCATTAAGGCTGGGATTCAACCAGATCAAAGATCTGGCTTCTAAATACGAATTACCAAGTTATGGAGAAAGGTGCGCGCCTTTCAGAGTATCTTTTCGCGACGATGGGCTCGGGAGACCGAGGGCCGAAGACTACGGAGGACAGGTGTGCGGAAGTCGAGCCCACCGGTCTGAGGAAATGTCTAGTAGACAATGCCATGCTGGTGGTTACATTGATAGGGGTTCTTGCAGGCGTTACTATTGGTAAGTAATTTAAAATCTACCTGTTAGTAGTACTTTAGTTATAATAGTGTTTTTATGTTTATTTTATTTATATGTAAAAGCCAGTCAGACGGAGACAAAATATCTTTAAAAAGAAAATAGTTTTTCATAAAATATTTTGTTATTTTTAAATTATTTTATTCATGTTAAATTATATTATTTATGTTAAATGTTAAACTGAGTTATGCTTAATTTGATAAAATTAAATTTAAATAATCGTTAGATACATATGTAATTTGATATTATATTTAATTAGTACTCATTTATAATTTACATTACAAAAGATATTTATATTCATTTTTTTTCATGCATGACTTTTCACGATAACAGCAACTTAACATGTTACCTGTAACATTAACGCAATCTACGAATATTTAAACATTCGAGTTACTTAGTTTAAATTTGACAGTTAAACTATCATTAAGATACTGAGTATGTCTACCTAATAATTATGTTTTTTTTTTTTAAATAAGTACATATAATTGTGATTTTTAAACATTCGCTTACAGGTTTCGGACTTCGACCGTATAATTTAGGCCCGGATATGTTAATGGCGATATCTTATCCGGGTGAAATCTTTATGAGGTTACTAAAGCTGATGATTCTACCGTTAATAATAGCCAGTTTAATCGCCGGTTCAGCGAGTTTGAACGCTAAGATGAGTGGAAAGATCGCTGTACGAACTCTCTTGTACTTCATTTTGACATCTCTGTTTAACGCTTTCCTGGGTATTTTACTCGCGGTGTTGATACACCCGGGTAAACCGGAGCTGCGAGATACTACCAATGGGACGCCGGATAAACGAGATCACAGAATCTTGGATAGCTTCTTCGATATTGGTCGGTGAGTCAATTACTTGTTTTTTAATTTTTCAACTATTTTAACAATCCTAAAAAATCTACGACGTTTATTAGACTTTTGTTTATTTAGGTTAGATTATTTGAGTACAGTACTATACTGTACCATGTACTTCTTACTAATATTATAAATGCGAAAGTTTAGATGTATGGATGGATGTTTGTAAGAGTTTGTAGCCTTTAGGCGGTTTACCGCTAAACGGATCTTAAAGAAATTTGGCATGGACGTAGAGGATATTTTGGAAGAACACATAGGCTACTTATTTTGTAGGTTTTTTAATTATACGATAAAGCTACTATGAAATATAACTGAATATATGCATCCTGGTATTTTTGATAATAAACCATTGCACTAAAATGCATTTTTGTCTGTTTTAAAAAAATATTCGAAGTTATTTAGGTACTTGTAGTAGTTTTGGATGAAAATGTAATGTCATTGTTTCATAATAGAAAAGTAAGAATTTAGATAACTTTTAAATCTCTGCCGTAAATAGTGTTTTATTTATTTGAATAACTATGTTTACACACGTTGTGAATATTAACTCATGCTGTAATAGTTATTTAAGAAGCAAGTTCTTTAGATAAAGATTTGATAGCGGATGATAAATTTGAAGGTAAACCAGCACTCAACTTTTATTACTAAAGGAAAAAAAACGATCAAAAACTAATTTCCGATTTAAATTTGATTTACTAACATTTTAATTAGCAAACGTTTAAAATTATATGAAAACTACATAATAAAGATCTATCCATCCAAATTTTCGATCTATTTATGTTATTTATGTCCGGTTTCCCAGCGACATTTAACCATACGTTAATCTTTTTGCTTTCATAACTACATGAAATGTGTTTCCTAACTACATAACTGTTGAAACTTATGTGTACAGCTAATGAACCACTAGGTAATATTAAAATAAATGAAATCTTCAGCAACCCAGTTAAAGACTCATATGTATTTTTGTTTTTTACAGCAATATATTTCCGGACAACATAGTGCAAGCTACTTTCCAACAATCGCATACAGTGTACCGGCCGGCGTTAGTTGCCAGCAATTTAACTGGCAACGACACAGTTCCTACACTCGTCAGAGTTGTTTCTGAAAGGTAATGTTTTGTACCATTTTATTTAGCAAGCATTCTAACTTTGAGTTTCCACTGTAGGAACTCTAATTCTTCCACTTTAAAAGTTATTTGAGTATAGCAATAAAATCTATACATAAATTTTGTAATTATTTTTACAAAATGTTAAATTAAATTTTATTCAAATTACAGTAGAACCTCGATAACTCAAACCTAGGTAACTTAAAACAATATGTTCCCTTCCCATCAGAGTCCAAAACCTCTACAATATAGACCCTTGATAACTTAAAACCTCTATAACTAAAAATATTTTGTGTGTTCCCTTGGACTTTAACTTATCGAGGTTCTACTGTAGTTACAAGTTCGTGTCTACTTTCTTGTTATTTAAGACATAAATAAGTTTGCTCAAATTAAGTTTTGAGAGAAATAATTGTAAATATCATGCTCATTTACAAAATTCTCCTTTTCAGGGCAGGCACGAATACGTTAGGGTTAGTGTTCTTTTGCCTGGTCTTCGGCAGTGTACTTGGAAGTCTAGGACCCAAGGGTCAGGTGGTGATTAACTTCTTCCAAGCGATTTTCGAGGTGACGATGAAGATGGTGACAGCTGTCATGTGGTTCACTCCAGTGGGAGTCAGCAGTATTATCGCTGGCAAGATATTGGGCGTTAGTGACGTCGGTAAAGTATTAAAAAATTATATTAAAAAGTTGAAATTACAGTTATGGCTAGAAAATATTCTCGTCTCTTAAGTGAGACGAGAATCTTATTGTTATCGATTATTTTCCTTATTAACAATTTAACTTTATTCCATTAAATATAATAAAGATGAGAATTTCAAGCATGTTTGTTAATACAATGTTACAAAAATAAATCTTACTGATATCATAAATGCGAAAGTTTAGATGGATGGATGTTTGTTATATTTAGTAGCCTAAACTGCTGAACGGATCTCGATGAAATTTGGCATACATGTTGAGGATAGTCTGGAAGAACATATAGGCTCACTTTTGTTTTTTAGTTCCACGCGGACGGAACCGCGGGTGAAAGCTATTAAATAATGTTAGCAATTATATTTCTTGGCTTCTAAGATTAATATTTTTCAACAGTCCAAATGTTATCCCAGCTGGCGTGGTTCATAATGACGGTGACGATCGGCGTGTTCCTCTACCAGCTTGTCATCATGCAGTTGATATACTTCTCGTTCCTGCGCCGGAATCCGTATAAGTTTTACTTCGGATTGTCGCATGCGATGTTGACGGCTGCCGCTACTGCCTCGGCGTAAGAATTCTTTTCTAATGACGAAATTATTTCTAATGTTTTACTCATCTGTGGTACTTCAGTGGCCAAAATCTATTCATTTGTATGTTGTGTAAATCAAAGAATGACGTAGATGACTTCAAGTGGGATAGTGAAGAAATATATATGAATGTACATAATTAGCTTTTGTCCACGGCTCTATCCGAATGGAATTAAAAAAGTAAGTAGCCTATGTGTTCTTCCAGACTATCCTCTACATTACATCGAAATCCGTTCAGCATTTTAAGCTAACTCTAACCAACATTCTTCCATCTATATAAGCTTTTGTGATATTAGTCAGATAATAAATAATGTTTATATTCCAGGGCTGCAGCTCTGCCAGTAACGTTCCGCAGCATGGAAGGTCGGCTGCAGATAGACCCTCGTATCACGAGATTCGTGCTGCCCATTGGCTGTAACATCAACATGGACGGCACCGCGCTGTTCCTCTCCGTATCCTGCATATTTATCTGTCAGATGAATGACATGGCTCTCGGTTTTCCTCAATATGCTGCTGTGCTGTAAGTTTATTTCCTAAACTAAATTAACGCACAACTGTTTAGTCTCGCTTTGATTCCTATGAGCTTATGGAGGTACACTACTCGATTTTTTAGTTGTGCAACTAAACAGTTGAATTGGCTAAACAATCGACAATCGCACAACATTTGTGACAGTTTTGTCAAAGGTGTGGCTTAAATCTTACTTAATACTAGCTGTTCCCGTGCGACTTCATTCGCATTAAATTATGAAAATTTAATTTTGTTGTTTACATGTGTCAAATTATCAATTACAAATGTCAAAGTGACATGACATTACGATAAACCATGGCAACCTGGCTTCTTTGATGTTGGCAGCAACTTATGGTCTCTTTCCCACATTAGGGTTTTTATCCAAAATATTTACCCCCTAATTTTAATAGCGTGAAAATATATAGCCTAAAACGTGACGTGTAGGGCTTTTTGTTAAAAAAAGAATTATTCAAAAATATGCCGTAATTGCTGACATCTTAGGCAACAAAGAAGTGTGTTTTTACGCTTTATTATAATATAGTGTAGATTACTAATGCAAAAGTTTAGATGGATGCTTGTTACAGTGTGTAGCCTAAACGGCTGAACGGATCTCGTTGAAATTTGGCATAGATATAGAGGATAGTCTGGAAGAACACATAGTCTACTTACTTTTGTTTTTTTAATTCCACGCGAACGGAGTTGCGGGCGAAAGCTAGTCTTATTTAATTAAAGCGGATACTCTCTGTATTTTTATTGTAAGAAATATTCGATTGCTACGTATTGGCGTAGTAGTGTGGGCATCACCAGATTAATCGTATATTAACCATAATTTGTAATTATCTTTTAGTTGGTATAACTGTTTTAATTGTTAAAATTGAACAGTGGTAGTGCCCGCTTTAACATCTTATCACTGCAGGGCCGGCACGCCCCCAGTAATACCACGACCACACAGAAGACAGGCGTGAAGTGGAACCAATTCCGCGTCT